GAGCCATTAAGTGTGGAGATTCCTTATTGGTTCACTGCTGTATCTAGTTTATGTTAATTAAGATAAGCTGTGTGGAATGTATATATACCCATCCTGTCCTACAATAAATGGCTCCCACTTCTGCTGTATCAATGTACACAAGTTGTTCGTCACCCCCTGGTTATTTTGCTGCAGCCGGACTGCGGCAGAAAACCATGGAGTCAGTAAGGCACAGGAGCAAAAGTAATAGGGACTRGAACACAAGCAGCCAGATGCGAAGCAAGAGCTGGAGAAATTAAGGAAGGCATGGCCATTGGATGTATGAGAACCAGAGCTCTGTGGCAGGGTTAGAAGGCTTGCTGGGAAGTATAAACTGGATGCCCTTTGTCATTCTTGYGGAGACACTAGAGACAGGTTATGTGTTTTAGACCCGGTGGAGATTATGAGCTATTTGAGGTTATCTAACTAGTGTTTGCATGAAAGCAACCATGCAGTGTGGACCATGTGGGTTCTTATTCTAGTTAGAAGCCTTTGCAACACCACAGCCACCTGGACTTCCAGAAAYAAGTACTATCGCTATTCATCTCTCTACTCGTCCCCCATGCCCGGCACCATGTCTTACACCCCATAGGAAAAAAAAAACCAACAAAGAGACTCTTTATATCCAGTCTTTACCTTCTGATTCAACCCACACGGTGCCACAGAATCGGTCATCACTACTTTGATGACTACACTGTCTGGTTGCAGAGATTCACAGTCAGACAACTACTGTCCACATTAAGGTATCCCARCTTTGGCAACAGAGGCTGGGTAATTCTTAGTTATTGGGGTGCTGATATCTATATCATAAGATCTTTAGCATTTCCCCTTATCTTGATGTCAATAGAAACCTCTCCCTATACTCCACTTGTGACAACCCAAATGTATGCAGGGGAGGGGGCAAATTTACTCCTGGTTGAGAACCACTTATCTACACTAAAAGCCCACATTCTTGAAGCTAGCATAGAAGATCCTTCATAATTTTTGTCTCTGATCTCCAACTCTTCCCTCACCCAGTGCTTAGCCTCAGTCAGACTGACTTTTGCATAAGCTCCCACTTGTGGAACCTCTATGTAAAATGTCCCCTTCACCTGGGACAACACTTCTGTTCACCTTTAGCTTTCCTTTGATCACCTCATAGGCATACCAGAGCCCATATCCTTCAGGAAGGYGTCTCTGATCAATCTTAGTGTAAACTCTGAGATATTTTCCTCTTCTTTGAACCTATAGTTTTCCTGCCTCCACCTTTCCTGGTACAAAAACGCTGAGTGCATATGTCTTGGTCTGCCTGGGCTGCTAWAACAACATACCATGAACTCTGTAGCTTATAAACACCAGCAATTCATTGGTAYAGGCTGGGAAACCACCATCTATATACCATCAAACTTGGTGTCTGATGAGAGCTTCTCACTATATCCTCACATAGTGGAAAGAACACATGAGTTCCCTCAGGCAACCACCTCCTGAATGGCCTACCTTTTAACACTACTGTATTGGAGACTGGATTTCAACATATGACTTTTAGGGGAACATAAACCTTCAAATCATAGCATATGTGTGTGTTTCTATGTGGTCTTTCCAATAGAAATATATTCACAAAAACAAGGAAGAGATCACATATTTTCTGTATCATCCATCTCAGTTTATGGCAGTTAAACAAAAGAACTAAAACATAAATATGACAAYACTATCTAGAACACTGCCAGGTTTAGAATTAGAAAAATAATGGCTATGACAACTCTGTAGAATAGCTCTATCACTAGAAAKGTTTTGAAGTTGATTGGTATTTTTAGGCCAATCAGCTTAAATGATTTGAATGTCCTATAATTCAAGCTGAGAAASTGGTAATGAAGGAAGAGTCATTCTCTTAAATAAAAAGGCAGCAGACTATAGCCTGTGGTCTGAATCCATCTGGTTATCTCCTTTTGCAAATAAAGYTTTAATGGTACACAGCCATGTCCATTTTTACTTCAGTGAATGACAAAGGGAAGGACAAATGGTTTTGATAAACACCCTGTTGCTAGCAAAGGTTAAAATATTTAATATTTGGCCCTTGACRGTAAAATTTTGCTGACCCTTGTCTTAGACTAGCAGGAAAACAACACCCAAGCCTCCATASTAACTAAAGATACAGAAGCAAATGCCTTTGTACTTTAGATTGGCCGATTTATTTTATAAAAGTAGCATGGAAACTAAAAGCACTTTTAAGCACAAACTTCCTGGGTTCAAATTCAGCTCTATCATTCTCATCTGTATGACTGTGGGAAAATTATTTGATCTTTTCAAGTCCTTATTTTGTCATCTTCAGAACAAAGGTGAAAAAAAAATACTAACCTAGGGCTGGGATTGTGGCTCAGTGGTAGAGCACTCACCTCGCACGTGCGAGACCCTGGGTGCGACCTCAGCACCATATAAAAATAATAAATAAAATAAAGGTATTTTTTTTTAAAAAAAACTAACCTATCATGAGATTTTTGAGGATTGAATGATAGGATTTTCACAGAGTCGGATTACACAGAGTGACTGAGAATGAATCCTCAGTATATGTGGCTGCCTTGCTGGACCCCCTACCACCAGTCTTGCCCTTCTGTCTGCTCTTGTCATACTACCAAGACTTTCCTCAAACACATTCCCTCATCCAGGTTCTCCAAAGAACTGAAAMAACATGCTTTCCTTTTCCTGTGCTGAACAATCCTAGGACCAGGCAAGATAACCTAGCTTCTTATTCCAAGAAAGAGCTGCTTCCAGGATAAGACTGTGAACCAACTAAAATAGCTTACTTGTCAAGACTAATAGTTTTCTCATTAATAGTTGCTTCTAAGTCTTCACCTTATTCACTAATCCCAAGCCATTAGGTCATGAAACCATCACTTTTCCACTTTATAAACACCCAGGCTAAGCCCTAAAACKCTACCAAAATTCTCATCTTATATTCTTTCTCCAAAAAACTACTAAGACTCTGTCTAGTAGATGTCCTCCCCCTGTGCAGTAAGTCTAATGAACCTAACTTAATTAAACTAGCAGGTTATTCTAGTTGTCTTAAGGAGAAGTGACTACAATTCCCACTTCAAAAATATTCAGCAGCTCTTCACTATCTCCAGACTGAAATCATTTATTTGACAAGTAATTTGCTTAACTGTGAAAAGCACATGTATTGGGGTGATTCATACCCCAATGAATCAGTTATTTTATATCCCTGAGCCTTAAGTTATTCTAAAAACTGGGATACTAGAAGCACCTACTTTTCAGGTAGCATGGTGTATAGCATGTAGTAGTTGCTCAATAATTGTTAGCAATTATTATTTTTATCATCTACTATATATCAGGCACTATACCTCAAAAAGAAATCTAAGTCTTGGCTTCTTCCCTTAAGATATTCAAAATCTAATGGGCAAATACTAGTGGTAAATTCAGTAGAATCTTATAGTTGTTCATAGTACCTGTTCTAGAAGTTGTTCATAGTACCTATTCTAGAACCTAAAATTATACTTTATTAAAGTGTTACTTTTCATATTGTGAACAACAGAGTGTATATAAAAGAAATAAAAATAAAACCTGAGAAGCTGTGCCCAGCTCGAGAATTAACATAGCTATAAGGTTCAGTTGTTAAATAAAGGCAGTAGAGCACATGGAAAATGTGTACCACTAGGGATTAGACAGTGTGGGATCTTGACTTAGTTGGGACACTAGCTGAGTAGGGGATAACTCACTCTCTAAACCCCAGTTACCTCTTCTGTCAAGTGACAACAAGATGACCGGGAAAATCCCTCTCAGCTGGAGCGTCTCTACTTTCTAGTCTATTCCTTCCTTCCAGGTTCAGTACAAAGGAGCACCTCTTCCTCTCTCCTGCCCATTTTTTCATTCTAAGTTTCTTTTCTCTCAGTTATCAAATATGAAGATACCTCCTGTACTTAAATTTGAGGAAAATTTTCATTCAACTTACTGCTGACTTTACTCTCCTGTCTCCACCCTTCTATGCAACCCAAAACTTGCCAATGCATGGATTGCTTGTGAAATTTCATTTCCTGATCACAGTCAGCTCTTTGTGGTCCTTTTCCAGATCTCTACACGCTTTTGAAAGTCACTAAGGCTTCCCAGACAAATTCAACAACTCTATCAATTCTCAACTGCCAAGATGGCAGACAGCACTTCCTGAAAGCTCCCAAGGCTTTTAAGAGGTTGCCCCATCCTCGCATCTTCTGTGGCCCCATTCTGGAAACATCATTTTGCTTCCTTCCTCAAAAGAAGAATTTATCAGTGAAGTATGAGATCATCAAAAAAAATGTTACCAGAGGGAAGAATAATTGCAATTAAAATGATAATGTCACAGCAATTCAGATATGAGGACATAATTTAGATATGATTCATGGAAAAAGAATGGAACATATTGCTTTCCTTGTCATCAATCACCCCCATTGCAATTCATCAGCAAAATCAATCTCCTCTTCCAATCTAACTGAGTACCTATCTTTTTTTGGCTACTGAAATGTTGTTGGGTGGAGAACTGGAGTCTACACTATTCTGGATTCAAATCTGATATAGATGGTAGAAAATAAGGTCTCTGTGGATTGGGGAAGACTTCTGTCATATGCTTCAAGAAGTTGTATAAAAGGGAGGGGAATAAAGATAAAAACAGTGATAAGTGACCTTACAGGATGAACTCCGGCTTCTCAGGTCTCTCTGCAAGCCTCAGGGCCTCATGCATACCAGCAGCCGAGAGCTTCCGGTTGATGTTACGGTACTGGCAGCGGAGCAGGCTGCGGTAGGTGGTCCTCAGGTCTCGGTTGAAGAAGGCGTAGATGAAGGGGTTGATGAGGGAGTTGGCATAGCCCAGCCACAGACATGTCCTTTCCACCCACAGCGGGATGCAGCTGCAGGAGGTGCCACAGATGAAGGGCCTGGCAGTGGAGAGCACGAAAAAGGGTAGCCAGCACACGGTAAACGCTCCGACGATGATCCCCAGGGTAGTGGCTGCCTTCTGCTCTCTCTTGAAGATGGAGATGTTCTTCCTCTCATGCTTGATCAGTCTGGACAGATTTGCACACTCTTCCACCTCCTTCTGGGCCTTCACCACGCCATTCAGGGAGATGACGCTCTCGGGCTGGGTGCGGGAGAAGCCAGGGAAGCGGTGCTTGGCAGCGCTCTTCTTGGCAGCCTTGTAGATCTGGTAGTACATGAACAGCATGACGGACATGGGGATGTAAAAGGCCACGGCGGTGGAGTAGATGGTGTAGCCGAAATCCTGGCTGATGAGGCAGACCTTGTTGTCGTTCACGTTCTGGGCCCATCCGAAGAGTGGGGGGAGAGTGATGGAGGCAGACAGCAGCCAGACAGACAGAATCATCTTTGCCATGCATTTCCCATTCTGTCTCACAGGGTAGGTGAGAGGGCGGGTGATCCCAAGGTACCTAGGAGGGAAATGGAAAGAGGACAGGTGAATACTGGGATGTCAGTGGTCCACGGAGGAAGTGCTACCAGCCAGACACTAGTGCCATCCTTGCGACATCTCATCTAGGTGGGCATCATTATTCCCATTTTTGCAGAAAGATGAACTGAAAAGTTATGCTTTCACTYAAGTTTCTACAGTTAGAAGTCAGAYGSAGAGCCCTCTGGCCCTAAAGTTAGTCTATGCTTTTTTCATACCTTGAAGCTTCTGATAATCCACACAGTCAAACATCTTAAAGGTTAAATAACCTGCCCCTTCCCATGACCCACGGCCACCAAAACCAGCCAGGAGCAAGATATCAAGCTGGATGTGGGATATTGTAACACATTCTCAGAAATCAAAGTCTACCACCCTTGGATAATGATCCCATCGCGGATCACTTCTACTGTTTCAATTCAAGTAGCTTTTAATGCATCTTAACTTCCCCTTTGTAGTGTAGCAAAAGCATTTTGTTCCACCCACAGAGATTGGTGAGATATTTTGGGAATCCAGGTTCGGGAATGGGAAGTAGGAAGTGATCATTTTTTTCCTATCCCAGAAAATTCTTACACAACACCAATGTCTGAGGAACATTCTTTAAAATAAAAMCAGTTTGTCTCACTGTGCCAGTTTTGAGGTGGATCACAAGAAAGGGCACAACTCTGAAATATGTTAGGCAAATCTAACACTTTCCCTGTGCTTGGTTCTACATAGAGAATAAATATTTCTTCATTTCTWTTATGAAGGATGTTAATGCAAAAGACACTCAGAAAACAGAGAAAACATGTACAGTAAACTCTTTGGCCAAATGCTTAATATTTTTCAGCTTTTCAAAAAACTTTCCCTCTATATTTAATAGCCTTAGCTTTCATTTTGGGAAAGATGCACCTAAGCACTTGAGAAACAAAGACAGATACATGTTGGTCACTTTGTTTATACTTGTAAAAGATACACTCCTGAAACATGAAAAGTAAGGTATAGACAGTCCCTAATTTGCCAACAGATCATATTCTAAAAGTCAGTCAATTGGCAAATTAGAACTTAAGAATTTTCTGCTAGAAATACACTTGATACTTAAATTATCCCACATAAGTCCAAAATCCTGCTTTTACAAGGAAAATGCGTGTCACTAAAACACTTGCAATGCAAAATTGAAATACAGTAAAAAGAAATAAGCCAATTTGCTCATCCATCAAGAACATCTCTTAATTACGTCAACAAATATAGACATCCCTAGGTATTCATAGGGATCTGGTTCCAGGACACAATCCCCACTACCACCATGAATTCCTAAATCTCTGGATTTTCAAGGTTCTTATATAAAATAGTATAGTGTTTACACATATCCTACATACATGCTCCCATACACTTTAAATCACGTTAAGATTACTTACAATGCCTAATATGTTACACATACTATGAGCATGGCTGTTGTACTTATTGTTTAGGGAAGAGTAGTAAAAAAAAAAAAAAGTCTTTATATGTTCAGTATAGTCACAACCATAGTAGGCCTAATTATATAGTGTACCATCAGCAGTTGGCTGAATTTGCAAATATAGAACATACAGAGAACTGATTGTATTAATGGAGCTCCTTCTAAATGACTGTTCTAAATGTCAGAGATACAGCAGTAAATAAAAGAGAGAAAAATTTTGAAAGCAGGAGAAAGAGTAAAACACGTGGGATGAAGGGAAGGACTGAGTCCACGGTAATGCTGAAAGGGATCTCTGATAGTTTCCAAGAGCTCAGGTGTTCATGGCACTGAGTGTTCATTTCATAAGTTCTTCCCTACCTTTTCCTTTTTAAGCTGACCCATAAGAACTATCCTTAGGTTAGTTTCCTTAGGTCTATCGGATGAAGTTAGGATTATGTTTTGGCTCCCAAATAGAATGGAGAAGAGAAAGAAGGATTTTTTTTTTTTCCCTGAGAATGCAAGAATAAGAACTACAGAGAAATCAAAAAGAGAAAAGGAATCAGGGAGAGAGAAATAAAAGGAAAATATTAAATTGGGATTGCTTTGTGGAATTGTTTGAGTTTCAAGCTACGGAAACAAAGTTTTTGGAAAACAATTTAAAATATACAAGGTAATCCCCAAAGAAAGATATTGGCACTCTCTGGAGGCCCACAAGTAAGCTGATCCTTGCTGAAGGCTAAATGCAGACATTTCACTAAAACAAAACAAAACAAACAAACAAAAAGAAGAACTCCTTCCCTTGCATTGCTTCAGGAATTTGTGGGTTTCCTGAAGGAAGTCCCTTACAGATCCCTCTTCTTGGATCTAGCCCTTGCTCTCTACCAGTCTCTCTGGAAGTAGGATTTGAGACTCCTTCCTTGTTTTCCAGCTCCCCCATGCAGATTTTCTCAGGACTTGGAATAAAGAATTTAATATAAAAGAAGTAGTCATTTTAAAATCAGTAGTAAAAAAATGGATCTTCATGAATTCTGAAAACTAACCAGCAATTCAGGTAAAAATAATATTGACTTCTTACTTTTCAACTTATAAATATAAACCCCACATGGATGAAGGATTACCAAGTAAAAATTAAATCTTAATACTACTATGAAAAAGTGAATGTATGTCTTCCATCCTGAGATGACAAAGATTATTCTTAACTAGGATAAAAGTGCTTATGTCTAATTATTGACATGGAACCAACAGAAGACTGCATAGAAAATAACATCTAGCCCTCAATTATAAGTAACAGTTATATATAATTTATTAACCTTACATGTAAAATTAGGTCTATGTTTATATCTGTGGGTGTATATATACATTGTGTGTGTGTGTGTTTGTGTGTGTGTGTGCTCGCGCGTGCGCACATGCCTACTGAAATGGCCAAAGACTATCCACCAGAGTATCAATAGCAGTTTTACTGGAGTTATAGAGATTTTAGTGGTTTTAGCTTTTTTATATATATATTTTACTATGCTTGAATTTTTTTCAATGAACATATAAAAATTACTATTTTAGTTTTAAGAACAAAATAAAACATTTAAGAAAATTCTGTGATTCTTAAATTACCTAAGCRATTCTGGCAACACAATCTGGTTCATAAAATTCCTAAAAAGCTGMTAATTAAATCTTATATTGTTTTATTTAATTAGTCAAAAGTGTTTTATTACATTCACAAATTTGCACAAAAGAAATGGAACTTATTGGCAGTTAAAATCTTATAATTAACTATATAAAGTAATATTGGTATTTAGGGAAGTGTTCGTTCAAATTATACATTCATCCTCCCAGCATTGTATTTGATAAATCTTATCTTCAAGAGAGAGAAAGCAAAAAAGAAGAAGAAAAAAAAACCTAGACTTATTGTGAGTATTCATTAATATATAGCTTTAATATGTATCACAATAACTATTTATATCCACTGTTAATTAGAAAGCAGGGTGTTTATAAAGCCTTCAGAATTTAACTTAAAGATGCATACAAATGTTAAAAACCAGTAAATCTCAGACAAAGATACCAAAATATTATATAATTGAGCAATGTATGCAACTCACATTAGGGGTTCCATTGAAGTAGGAGTTCAGAGAAAAAGAAGATTAGGGAGCTATAATCTGCATAGAGAGGGATTGGAAGCAAATTAACTCTGCCGCCTGTCTTCATTCTAACRTTTAGAAATCATAGATAATGGTTCTTTGATTAAATTGCTTCTCCTGAGTTTCACTGCTATGGAATAATAATTCAAGGGGTAAAAGAAACTGGGTAGAATTATTCTGAAATACAGTGGCTTTTAGAGTGTTTAGTTTTAAAAAATGTTCACATTTTAGAAAACCTCTTATGGAAGGAAATATACACTAGACTCTCCAGCCCATAGTAGGGATTCCCAAAACTGAAAAATTATCAGAATTATCAGAATCACTGAGAAGCTTTTGAAACATGTAGATTCCCAAACAACCCTTCTCCTTGAGGAAGGTCTGGAAACCAGAAACTTGTATTTAGGATTGACGTCTCTGGGTGTTTATTCCACATACTGCTAAGTAGCCCTCTCCCATTCATTTAGCAGGACTTTATGCTTATCATATGAAAGGCTTTATGTTTATTTTATATATTTCATGTTACAGACCTGATTTCAGCTTTGCCAGAAAAAAAAATCATCATGAATCATGTTTCCATTATCAGCTATTAGTTGTATCTCCTAATACAGGGCTAAATGAAGTGAGCATGATTATTATGTCTCAGTCAAGTTGCAGATTTTATTTATTTATTTTATTTATTCTAATTTGTTACATATGACAGCAGAATGCAATTCAATTCATATTATACACATAGAGCACAATTTTTCATGTCTCTGGTTGACAAAGTAGAGTCACACCATTCATGTTTTCATATATGTTCTTAGGACAATGATGTCCATCTCACTCCACCATCTTTCCTACTCCCATGCCCCCTCCTTTCCACTTCCTCCTCTTTGCCCTATCTAAAGTTCTTCCATTTCTCCCATGCTCCACCACCCATCTCCAATATATGAGAAAACATTTGGCATTTGGTTTCTTGAGATTGGCTCATTTGACTTAGAATTATATTCTCCAACTCCATCAATTTACCTACAAATGCCATGATTTTATTCTCTTTTGATGCTGAGCAATATTACATTGTGTACATATACCACATTTTCTTTATCTATTCATCTAATGAAGGACATCTAGGTTGGTTCCACAATTTAGTTACTGTGAATTGTGCTGCTATAAACATTGATATGTCTGTGTCCCGTAGTATGCTGTCCTTGGGGATGTCCTTTGGGTTCCATTCCCATATTGCTTTCCAGATTGGCTGCACCAATTTGCAGTCCCACAAGCAATGTATAAGTGTGCATTTTTTCCCACATCCTTGCCAACACTTATTGTTGTTTGTCTTCATAATAGCTGCCATTCTGACTGGAGGGAGATGAAATCTTAGAATAGTTTTGATTTGCATTTCTCTAATTGCTAGAAATGTTGAAATTTTTTCATATATTTATTGATTGCTTGTATGTC